GGAGGGTTGGAGATTTCTTAAAAAAAAAAAAAAAAAAGCACAATAATTTTACCTAAAGGCATGGATTTCTTCCAATGCAGATATAGGCTGTATTTAAATATTTGTTTATTGGATTGTGTATGTGTATCTTTATTGCTGGAAAGAAACAATTCTGTCTTCTGTCAGAGGTATTGCATACACAAACATATAAACATGCAGACCAGCATTTATGGTACTGACCAAAATTCTTAATGATGCTTTGAATGTTTGCCCATGCTCAGCTGGAAAGCACGCAACACAGTCATTAATGAAATCTTCCTAATGATGATGCGTTACAGTCTTCTACGCTACAAAATGCTTATTGGAACCAGATTGGTATAGTTCATTTGCATCTATATTTGTAGATGAGATTATAATTAATTCTGTTTTAGTAATACTGCTATTAAAAATAAAACCTGAAAACAAAGCAAAAAGTTATGTTGTTGCATACTCAGCAGTCAGAAAACATTAGCATTAAGTTTCTTATGCCATTCCCTCTCTCTGTGTGCCTTGTGATTCTATCTTTAATTACACGGTAACACACCGCTGAACAATATTATGTGTATTTTTTCCCCAACTATAAATGCACGTGACATTTAAAAAGGTAGCTTGATCATAGTTATAACTGCTACATGGGGAGCAGAAATTTAATAACAGAGGGCTCTTCAGTCTATTGGGCAAGTACATGATGAGACTTGGTATCTGGCTATTGAGGATAAATTCATTCAGAGAAGAAATAGAGCATGATTATTTTTAACAATGAGGGTAATTAACCATTGGAACAGTTTACCAAGGGTACCAAGAATTCTCCACAACTGGAACATTTTTAATTAAAATATGCTCTAACGGAACCTCAGGTATCAGACCTGAAGCAAGAAGTAACTCGGGGAAATCCTGTTGCCAGTGTGATGAGGGGAGTCTGAGTAGATGATCACAGTAGTCCCTCCTGGCCTTGAAATCTATTAATCTTGCACAGCAGTGTATTACTGTACTCGCCAAAGACAAAGAAAGTTGAAAGATGCACATTAAATGACCCAAGAACTCTTTACATGATACTGCTTACAAGTTGTAGGAAAACCAAAACTTTTAGTTTGTCTTTCGAGAACCAGTAAGTGGTGATGTAATGAAAGATAGTATTATGGAAATGTTCTCATGTTCTTCTGATGAAATAGTAACTCTAAGGAATTTGAGGATATGAGGAATCTGAGCAATGGAAATTTATTTAAGGGAATTTGAATTCCAAGTATAATCATGTCAAGTAATGATATGTTGTATCATTACTGGATATAATGCTTCCTTGTAGAAGAAAATTCTGCAATTTGCAAGCATGCAATAGGTTCTGTGCATGGAGAAGGAATATATTAAAACAATGTTGAAGATAAGGGCTCTGCCTTCACAGACCTGCCTTGACATCATTCTTCATGAAGGGCATGGTCTTGAGCAAGAATAAGAACCTTTCTGCTACGTCTTGATAAATTTTGAATCTCTAGTCACTAAGCATGTTTCGTGGAAATCCCATCTTTGAAATGGTTCATTTATAATAATGCACTTGTAATATCCATAACTGTGACTAATACCTCCTGGGATCATGTTGTCTTAAACTGGTCTTTTCCTTACCACAAATGTCAGAAAAGGGAAAGACAGTCTGAACAACTCAAATAATCAAGAGAGGAGGAAGATATTTCTTGAACAGAATGTCACAACCTAACAGATTCAGCTAAGGATTTTTAAGCTGTATTTTTACCTTCTCCAGTATTTTTAATGTATTGTGCTAAAAAGCTTGTTGTGCTAATGTTTTGTAAATGTCACCAATCGGCCCAGTAAGTAAAAAATCCTTAAATCTCCCTGGGGTTCTGCTATTGTCTTGCTTTAAAATAGTCTAGTGGATGGAACGCTGAACCAGGATCTGGGTTCATTTCACAGTTTAGTAACAGCACATATGTACAGACTCAAGCCAGTCTCTTAATTTATTAGGTGTATCGGTTATTTCTTCTGTGAGAATAGTACTCCATAGGAGAATTAGGAAACTGAATTGCATTATTATCTTAGTACTTCTGAGGCATCAAGTCCCATTATATACATATAATCTGGTAGAAAATAGAGCTGGTTTGCTGAACCTAAAATAGGAGTAAAGCCATTACTTTGAAATCTTTTTGTTCCATGCTTGTGTTGGATCGTTATCATCTTATAGAGTTAGTTACTTGTAAGAGAAAAGGTAAAAGAAATATAGTCTGTTTTCAAGAATTTGTGTTCACCTGTTTTAAATCACATTAAATGGAAGCTTAACACACATTGGTGGTTTTCTTCCACTTTAAAATTTAAATTTAGTTAATGCTATTTATAAGTTAAAAACAAGTGGATCTGAAATTATTTCATCTATTTCTGACGTATTATCAAGTTGCATAATCTTAAGATCTAGCTGAGATTTAAAAATGAGAGTCCAAAGTTGCATTCCATTTTTAGCTGTCTAAATAGATTGCTGGGCACTCAAAAGTGCAGAAATGCTATTCATTCTAGTATTTACAGCTGGAAGTGGAAATCTGAGGATCTAACCATCTGCTCAGCATGGAGAAAATGGAGGGCTTTGTATTTTTGCAGCACTTTGGGTTCTTTTATTGTAGCGTTATTTGTGTTCAGTGGAGTTTAAGGATCTTAGTGTTTTTCATTGTACTGAATTGAAGAACTCTTTACAAATTTCCACCTTCATCTGGCAAGGCCATGGAAGTCAGCAAGATTACATGCAGGAGTGCGTAAACGTTTGTAGGATTGAGTCCAGGTTCATGCTAGGCTTATTATCCTGATCATTAAAATGCTACCATCTCTGTGACAGGCTTGGAAAACTCTTAAACAAATCCCAGCAACACCGTAACTGCAGAGGGAGCTTTAGAAAAGGCTATAAATCAGAAAAGATTATAGTAGACATAACATTATTCCTTTTGCAAAAGAGACCCAGGGGTCTTTAATGCTGCATTTTGTGCTATTTTTATGTTTAGAGCATGTCAAACTGAGCACACGCTTCTCCTGATTTTTGTCTACACTGTGAACAATGTGAATAGTGTGATAGACAGATGAGATTAGTTGAAGTGATGATCAAGTCTCTGCAGAAGCTTTATACAAAGTTGCTGAAGACTCCATTTGTAGGTAATGTAATGGCTCCTTGTTTTCCTTTCTTGTAGCACTTTACCTAGTCTTCATGCTCCCTACCCCATGCTGGTATTAGTTGGCCCTCTGGCCTGTGGTAAGAGAGAACTTACTCATAAGATCTGCAGACAGTTCAACAATTTCTTCAGATACGGGTAAGTTTGCTCCATAAGTTTAAAAGAACACCAAGTGATCAAAGCTAGAATTGCTGCTGGTTTGCTTTTCTTTAAAAAAACCCAAGAAGTTAAAAGTTAAAGACAACCAATAAATGTTCATTGCTATGCATTTTATCTCTTCCCAGGGCTTGATTGCCTGAAGTCATCAAATACTTCCTTAAAAGAAAAGCTATTTAAATTATCATGTTCTTTTCAAAGGTGAACAGCAAACAAACAAACAGACAAAAATGTGTCATTTAGCGCTCCTTTTATTGATCTATCTATCCTCACTAATGCCCCTCAACCTAAGCATCTGTTTGGATATGTATGCATTTCTCTTAGTTTTTCTAATGTACCTGCATATAAACACATTAGCATGCATGTGCAGACTGCATCCAGAAGCTAGGAAAGGAAGCAAGTGCAATTGCTGGACCGGTTTATTATCCTGTGAGTAGTGTTATCAAAGCACATGGCACCTTTCAGACTTCACCACCTGCTGGGAGGACTAATTCTCCCTATCTGAAAGGCCTGAATTATGATTTATCCTTACCGCCTTGGGCTCCCTGTGTATTTAGTGGAGAGAAACTCTCTCTTCCCAAGGGAGATTCAGCCTTTGTGAATCGCTTCCCTGAGGTATCTACCTATTTTCAGTGCACAGTAGATAGGAAGTCTGGCTAAGTTAGATCACCACTATCTGTTGCCTAAAATTAGGTGGTGCAAGCTGTTCCTCTTGCCCGCCCATTCCATTCTTCACAGTACCTAACTTTCATAGGTCCTATAACACACGCTATTCGGCACTGGTCTCTGTTCCTGTTATATTGTCTCTCCCCTATTTTCTCAATTTTTTTATTACACGAATTTCTCCATTCATTTTTAACCAGACTTTGGCCGTCTTTTTTTATTACACGAATTTATCCATTCATTTTTAACCAGACTTTGGCCGTAGTTTCACATGTATAGCGTTTGCCACAACAGGACCCGGGTCTATATTTGTGCACTCTTAGGTACTGAAGTGGTGAGTTGTAAGACAGGGACCACGGGCACGTGCATATGCGAGAATGATTCCTCAGAGTTCTTAGCATCACGGGACCATGCTCTGCATGTCGATGTGATGTCTAGCAGTAGCCGCCTTCTCTAACGTAATACACCACAGTGAAAGAGCCTATATGTATTTCTGTCTGCTCTGTGCTCAGATTATAGCCACTTGCTGGATTAGATCATTAAACTGGCAAGTTGAAAGGACATTTTAAGAAAAGATCTGTCAAGGTTATGTGACTGGAAAAATGACTTTTTGCCTTTCTTTAAAGCAACTGCTATGTTTTGAAAGACTAGATTGGAAATTACAAACTAATTGAATACCAATTGAAATTTTCCTAGCACTATGTGGTTTTTAAGAGCATTGGTTTTATACTGTGTATTTTATTTCCTAAAAGTTTTATGCATGAGGGGGAAAAAAAAGGAAGAGAGACAGAATCTTAACAGAGCAGAAAATTGCAACCATAAAGCAAAGTTGTATTTTAATTATTCAGTGGAGATTTAAGCAATTTTATGGCTTACACTTTTAAATTTCAAACATTCCACTCATTAAAAATGTATTTCATGCAAGGCAGTTTGAATGTAAACATGGCCTTGCAATTAAAAAAGGCTGTAATGTTTAAAAGTGTTTCAAAAAATAAAGTGAAATTGGACCCTCAAACCATCTGGCTAGTGCTCAGGAATGACCTTTAAGCTGGATGCGTTCATAATATCTTAAAGAAAATCAGGCCTTTGAAGTGAAATTTTACAGAGTCCATGTGTAGCACACTGTTCTCATTTGCCACAGCTTGCTGATAAAAGCAAGTGGCACCCTCTAATGCCGTGATAGTTAAGATCTGTCAAGCTCTGCATTATAGACTAAAGTTCTGAATGGTTTATAACTCGGCTACCTTAAATGAACAGAAATGGCCTGGTAGGTAGTATACTAGTAGGTGGTATATTTTTTGCCATATTTTCCAGGACAATCCAGCAGAAGTCAAAGAGTTAAAATGTTGTCGGTGTGGATCAGTGCCAAAGCTCCACATCACACTTTTGTTCCTGTTATCCTACAATGTAAAAATTAAAAACAAAACCGAAGCAGAAACAAGTAGCAAAATACAATTTCCTAAGATAGAACATGAGCCACTGCATATTTTAATCTAAAATTGGTACATGCATTGACTTAGCTGCTTTTTTTTGGTATTGTTTGGGGTTTTGGGGGTTTTTTTAGTGTTTCATCCTAGTGGTAAGCTCATGTATCTGAGGTTTGTCGTATTGTCCTTATGTGGTGGCAGGCAATTACTTTTCCTGCCTTGTATCCCGCTTATCTCCCTAGTTTCAGGATTGTTTCTCCCCTTACTATTAGGGGTCCATTTAAAGGTTGGTCTTTATATCTCTTTCTTAACCTCACAGTTCAGCCTAACTCCTAGTTTCCTTTTCCATATTTAGGATTCTACTTTATATCATCCACAAGCTGACATAACTGGAAAAAAAATTGTTTCATCATTTCTCTATTACAGTGTGCTGTGACAGCTTCAGTTCAGGCTATCTGGGGTTGGGGGGGATTTATAGCCAAAATGTAATGTTACATTTAAACTTTTTTTTTTCTTTATTTATGGGTTAATCTTTCAAATATGTGGCATTAGTGGTATGATTTGCACCTCTTTATATTTCTCATATTTCTTCTCTTCTTAAAAATAAAATGATTTGTGGTATTCTCCCTTTCCCCCCGCTCCTATTCCATAGCTGCTTCTATGATTGAAAACAGGTTATTTGTTTATTATACCATATATCTTCCAGTCCCTGTCACACTACCAGGGCAGCTTACTTTGGTGAAGAAAACAGACTTGATTACTATTTCGTTTCTCAAGAAGCATTTGACAAAATGGTGAACACAGTAAGTACCTGACTAGTATCCTAGTAGGCCTATTCCCTAC